TATATATATATTTCTCTTTGTGTTCTTCAAAGATAGAAACTTGGCCTTGACTGTCCTAGCTGTATCAATGGGACCCTCACTGTACCCCTTGACACCCAAACTTTGGGATTGACCCCTGACCCTGTTGCCTCTCCCCCAGAAAAACCGAAGGTGTATCAAGGTGTCCGAGTGAAGATGACAGTGAAAGAACTACTGCAACAAAGAAGGGCACACCAGGCCACCTCAGGGGCAACCGTAAGCACAACCCCCCCTCCCCCACTCCCAAGTCCACCTCAGGCCTCATTCAACACGGTGTCTGGGAACATATAGAGGCCACCCACAAGCACAGCCCTGGTTCAGGGATTCTTACAACTTCTGTTCCCAGCTTCGCCCCAGGTTACCACAGGCAGCCACAAAACCATGTGGGGCGTGGTATAGGGCTCAGGGTTGCGAGAGGCTCTTCGCTCACTATTCTTAGTTGCGTGTGGAAGGCTTGTTGGTCCTCTGCAAGGGAGAGAGGCAGCCAGCAGGTAAGTACATTGTTACAGTGTTAAGATACAGCCCCCACAGACTCATAGAAAAATCTCTCCCAGAAACCCTCCTAGTTTCTCTGTAACTTAGTCTCTGAGGTCATTTATGTGAAAAGTCACCAGTCACTGGATGTCTCCAGAAGAAAAGGACCCTGTCTCTAAAATATACAGAACTGTTACAAAACTGATCTGGGCTGTCAAAGGGTACCCCACCACTCCGCACATACTACTAGAGTGCTCGGGGCAGCTGCAGAACCATACATGCTAGGTATGGTTGTCCACCAAGAAGAAGTTCAACTCGAAGAGCCTTCGGCATAACACTGTTATTGCTTGTTGGTAGGTATAGGTGTGGAGGGAGGATCAGAGAGCTAGTATTCCAATCACATATATTAGTTATCACTGGTCCCCATCTACAGGAGGCATTGTGTGTGTTCCAAGTAGGACTTTATGAAAGGGTCTTTGGCACCTCAAGCAATGGCAGGGAGAAACTATGCAGGAATGATGAGATAGGTTCCTGAGCCAGAGGAACTGGATTTAGTTCTCAGTAACTCTGTGCCTCATATCCACCAACCTTCATTTATTCTCTTTTGTCTGTCCCCCTCACCTTTCATTTGAAAGCCAATAAGGCTGTGTAAGGGTTAAACGAGTACTTAGAACAGTTTCCACAGTCTTTTCCACAGTGAATTCACAACAGATATTATTTGGGAAAGATCACCAAAATAAATTCCAAGCAAGGATGGATAGCCAGGACACACTAATGTGTATTATACTTTATGCTCAGAACTTAGAGTTCAAGTATGTTTGCTATGATTTGGTACATACAGCTAGGGAGATTAGTTATCTCCATATGCAGACTTTCAGGTAATGTAGAATGTCCTTATATTGCAAAGAGGGACTTCCATTGGTTCTTTTCAAGATTTATTTATTTTTAAATAACTTATTTTAAGCACTTTTGTACATTCATTATTCCATTTGGTTGTAATGATCAGATGACATAAATTGATCAGAAATCTGTATTCCTCCATGATAGCTAAGATCCCAAGTCTTGACGTTGACAACAGGCTAAAGCAGAGCTGAGATAGTCTTATTTTTCAGTATTGCCTTCTCTAAACTCATCATACTAAGCAACAGTTTAATAACCTCAATAGTTCACAGCTATACCAATAATAAAACTAGGGCCAAAGAAGCTGGAAAGGGCTTTTGCAGACAAAAATCAACCAGCCAAGGTGTTTACAAGGAGTCTTGGTACTTGTCAGAACTCTGCTTCATCTGTACCTAGAGCATCCATCCTATTTAGGCAAAGCAATGCTATCACTGTTGGTGTGACCACTGTGGACTCATTAGCAGAGTGGGGGGTAAGAGGAAGTATCTAACCAGGTTCTGTTCCTGAGCGAGTTCTGATTTGACATTTTCTGAGTTCCCTCTGAGAAGGAAAAGGGACTTTGGAAGCGTTATCTATCAAGAACGTAACACTGCTTGCTGGATATGCTCTGCTCTGCTTCCTGGGAGGTTCTCACTCACACCTGCCCTTTCTAGCACTCAAGAGTCACACATATAGAACTGCAATAGGAGACCCAGATGTGAATCTCTTTCTGAGAGCAGTGAGAAGGATGTGGGATTCTGGGGCTGCTCCAATAGTGTACCCAGCCAGCAAGAGTGGTAGATACCATCCCGGGGAGAATAATGTGTGCCTGCTTCATGCAGACCTTCCTAGTTTAACAGAGACTGTATCCAACTTCATCCAGTGTTAAAAGATATCTCTGGGAAGCAGTAATCCAAGGAGAGAATTAATTGTGCCAAATATTGCAAAGCAAAAATAAATCTGTCTTGGTTTTTGCTATGAATTCAGAGTAGTATCTGAAATTTTAAGAAAGCAGTCATGAATGGTGGTTATAGGCCGAGGTAGATATTCAGGTCTCAAGTGTACCAGAAGAAACTATGCATGTCAGACTGGTAAATTTAATTTTAAAAACTTATTTCAGCCATATCAGATTACACACACACACACACACACACACACACACACACACACACACACACACACACACCACTTCTTTGCCTCTAGAGTAAAGAAAAACTTGAGTTAGTGTTTATCTAAAGGTAAAGATAAAAAAATTCTTTTTAGCATTAGTTGTTTTTGTTTTTTAATAGTCTTGATGTGTTTTTATATACTATTGATTGTGACTTTATGTGCTGTTTTAAATCTAAGAGAGAGGAGCCACTCTTTGTATTCTTGAAGTAAAGTAGAAAGTGAACCTAGGGCTAAAAAGATAATATCAGTAGGATATTGTAAACATACCTCCTGGCTTTAACAAGGAAGCAAGCAAGCAGACCAATGGGGGAAGCAGGGGGTTAAAAGCCAGCTCTACAATGAAGCAGATTTTTTTTAAAGACCCATTCCTTCCAAGTCCTTCAGCTCAAGCTGCAGTCAAATATTTGCATAAAGAGCAGGTAAAGGCTTCCAGCTTCCTGGTTCATGACATTACAGCATGGATCGTTTTCAAAATTAACACACCTCCTGTTTGAGCAGTGGCTGGCTGTGCAGCGCTTGCAGGTGGCTCAGGGAACAGGAGTGAGTATCCCCCTGCAACCCCAGAGAGGTGTGGTGAGCTCGGCTTCCTAGCCCAGAGCAACAACAGTATTCGCTGGTCCCTTTAAACTTTAAAGCCACCACCTGAAGTCTAAAAGAAAAAAATCTTGAATGACTCGGTTAGTATAATTGTCCTTTCAACTGGAAAAGGCAAGCTGCTTAACTTTAAGTATTTGAAAGGCTCAGCCTTCTGAATTCTCGGCATTTATATACAGTAATTTTAAAAAACAAATTATATAGAAAACAGTTTTTCAAAATATGCAAAAATCTGAAATTTTTCTGGTTATGAACTCAAATGTTTGTAGGCTGAATCACTGAATACAACTTCAAGAATTTTCTTTTAGATTTTAAAGACCATAAATGTGAATATTTTAGCTTCTCAGATTTAATAAATCCAGAAACAATGTCTCATTATTATTCATTTCTTTATGGAAAATGACTTCCTGTGACCAAGAAACCAAGTAGTACATACAAACTTTGAGGCAATGTATTAGCTAGTCATAGCTGGGCTAAGCAAATGTGAAGTCTTACTCAATATAAATAAAATTGCTTAATAGAAAGGTTCCTTACTGAGTTTTCCTGAGTTGTTCTACTTCTGCAACAAAAATTAGTTACATTAACCTTTGTCAAAATTAATAACATTTTAGCAAGGAATCTGATGATAGAAAAAGACAAAATCCCCAAATAAGCAAATATAAAATCAAATCTAAAAATATATAATGCTGGCTTTATTTAAAGAAGTCAGTGCTCATAGAAGAAGGAGTTTGGCTTACCGCAGCAGAGCAGGAGAATCCCCTGCCCAGCTTCTCCAGTGGAGATCTGCACCCAGCGCTTGCTTCCCTTTGCTTCATGCTTCTCTTCTTGCATTGACAGCTGCCAGGAAGCAGTAATATCCACCTTCCAGACCCCAGCACGCCATCGTCTGCAGGTCAGTACAGCCAGCTTTACAGTGCCCTCAACCCCTTTCAAAAGTCCACCTCTGAAGCCCTTCAGAGCCTGACTCAGGGGTTAAGAGAGGCACCACCATTTAATTGGAATCCAACCAATCAGAAGGTGACTCCAGATGCAAGCCCAGCAAGGAAAGACAAAGTTTTGCCCTCATTCTGTACTGTCTATTCTGTTCCAAGACTTTGTCCTTCACATTTATCCTAGTTGCTGGTCTCCAAGCAACTCAACTTCACTATGAAATCAAGGTCTGTTTCAGCATTTTGTTGCCTTGGTGTACTTTGAGTTGGGATCAGAATATCCAGGGTGATGCCTTTGCTCTTGTTCATTTAGCGTCTAACCGACAGGGGCTCCCTTCCCACTCTTTACTCTCTTCCCAGAAAGCAGTTCAAACAAGTGTAAGTTTCCCCGGCCCAATATGAATAACTCTATTACATAAACACTCCTTCCTATGCCTCTGCGCAGCTGAGATCTAAGGAGGTCATATAGAAGGAAAGCTGTGCCTATGGCACTTCCCACCAAATATGTCACTTTAACTTAACCTGCGAGGAGCCCCGGAATTCTATAGCCCCTTTAATGGGCTCTCCCTAAACCTCTCCCGTGAGCCTTTGAGACTGATTTTCACACACCGGGCTACTCATTATAACCTGGAAAGGGGGTGATGTTTGTCAGATTATTCTCCTTAGCTTTTTTTTTTTTTTTTCATTCCACTCTCCTCTTGACATTTCCACGAAAAAGACAATTTTTCTCTGTGTTTCAGAGCAAAGTGCTATTAATTTGTACTCAACATCCTAGGCTTCCAGTTTCAGTGAATGCATTACCATTTATGTCATTTCTCAAAACCCTCTCCTCAACAATTTAAGTTACTACATGGAAAGTTTAGGAAAGCAGCAATCCTGAATCAAGAGTATAGTACCAGGTTTCCCAAAGCCCCAAACAAATCTATCTGTGGCTTCAGGGAAGTCTCTCTGAACTGCAGATAGAGTTTAGATGCCATTGCTTTCATCCTCTGAAAGGTGTAGGTGGGTGCTCGCCCTTGAATGTAACATTTCCATGCAGGCTAGGCCACTATGCATTTTCTTTTTAGTTTTACCCTAACCATATTGACAGCCACCTATCATCAGATTTATTTCCCTGGTACTTGGGTTAACCCAAGACAACTAAAACAGTCCAAGTTCCTAAACTGTTTGCTTTTAGCGAATTTTCCAATCACTGCTTCCCCCTTAACATAAGAATTAGAAAAAATTTTTAAAAAACTCTGTTCAAATACACTTTGCCATTTTTAAGCAAAATCATTTCCCTTTCTCTTCTAGGACTGTATTTTGAACCCGAACCAATGTCTTCCACACCCAGTTATTTCCAACCCCGAGAATTTTCCACCTGTGTCTCTTGTGAAGAAAGTCCAAGCTGCCTTGACCAGATCTTTGAGTCCTACCTTCAAACAGAGACACTCCCAGGGCCTTTGCTCAACTCCACGCAAAGTGCTCCCCACTATTTCCCAGACAGCTGTCAAATGGCCCCTTTCTGCTATAGCCAGAGCCTGGTAATTCATCTGCATCCTTCCTGTAACCTGATGGTTGCTAACTGTGGGGTAGAGATGCTTTGTAGAAGGGTTTGCATCATTTCGTGAGAATGCTTACAAATGTTATCAACAAGGAAATAGTCAGGGGAGCACTTAAAGTTCAATGTGTGGGCACCTTGAAGGGCATAAACCTTTGAATACACACTTATTATGATTTCCAAGTAAATGGATGCCTGGCAATAAAAAGGTTCCCTGGTGCTACTCATTTGATGTTTTTTAACATCAGTTAAGACATCTGTTAATTTGGAAATCAATAGTTTAAACAATGGCCCTTAGAATTTTAAGTCCTTAAAATGGATTGAGGCTATGTGCGCGTGCGTGTGTGTGTGTGTGTGTGTGTGTGTGTGTGTGTGTGTGTGTGTGTGTGTGTGTGTGATACCAAATATTCTAATGATGCCTGGCTTAACTGCTGAATTGGCTCTACTAAATGGCTGGTTTGGTCTGCCATAAGCAAAGGGACATATTTAAGCCTGATAGAAAACAGTCCTGTGGTATATGCCTTTAATCCCAGCACTTGGGAGGCATAGACAGGAGGATTAGGAGTTCAAGGCCAGTCTCAGCTAAATAGTGAGTGGAAGTACAGCCTAGGCTACATGAGACCTTCCCTCAAACAAAGACCAAAAAGTCCTAATCTTTGAAAGAATTTGGGTTTTCTGTTCTTGGTGGATCTCAAATGTTCAGAAATGTGTTCTCTTTAAAATGAGTAAGAATTTTTTTTCTGTTTTAGAGATTTGTAATTTTTTAAGTTTTAAATATAAGGTTTTTTCTTTTAAAAAGAAATGTGCACACTTTTTTCTTTTAGTTTGTCAAAAAGTCTACATAATGGGTAGGCTGAATTTAGAAAAGATGGGAAATTAACTACAGAACATGCATATTTTCATGAGGAAATAACATCCATCTTCCAATCAGCGGCCAAGTCTGATGATTATAAATTTGCTTAAGATGTGGTAGGTCTTTGGCAGCTGGGAGAATACATTGGTGATGTCAGAGGGAGTTTCTCACCTTGAGGTGTCCTAGATGGGCTCTGGAAGACTCAGGTTTTACCTCTGTGTGTTTACCTGGCCAAGGGTATGGAGAAACATCCAAGGTGCCACCTGCAGCTTACACTGTGGGCATGCAGCAAGATTTGATGTGCAGGTGACCCGAGACACAGTGGGATTTTGTGGTTTAAGAACAAAACATCCTGCAAAGTATGGTTTTAACAAAGGAAGGCAGTGAAGCAAGACAATCGATTGTTGGGAAAGAGAAAGAGGACTATAGGATGTAGTGTCGTGAAATCACACAGTCAGAGAATGAGATTACTTCTGAGGACTTAGGTGGATGGCTTGAGCCTTATTTTTACCCCGGATTTTCTCACTTTGCACAGTTAAATCCACACCGCTCAGTTCTTTTGGTCCTGTATAAGTTACCAAGCTTTTTGTTTCCTGGGTTTCATTTCTCTAGACTCCAGGATCGCCTTCAGATTCCTCCAGCCTCTCTGGCTCCTTTGACTGCAGCTATTCACCAGCTCAGCCACCTTCCTACACTCTGGAGAATTACACTTCTCCTCCTCCTCTGGATTCCCTAAACCACAGCCTCCCAGAAGAAGGCTACGCATGCCACCACCATTGGCCTTCCCACACCCAGTACAACCACTTCTCCCCGGCCACCCCCTCCGTCTGCTACTGTGCATCCTGCGAAGCAGAGCATTTGGATGCCGTCAGAACCTCAGAGTTCTTCTCCTACTCCAACACAGACTATGTGGACTTTGCCCCCTCGGCAGCCACCACCAGCGATTTCTATAAGAGGGAAACAAGCTGTGATGCCTGCTACAGTTAGTAAAAGCCACACAGGAACGTGTTGTGGGTATATATGTTTCTCTACTGCATCTAGATGACACTTAAACCTTCAACCCATTCACAAAATATCCCACATATGGTTTACATCTCACTGTTTTCAACCTCCTGATACTAGTGTAGGAATTGTTATAAAGCCCTTAAGCCTGGTTTCCTACCATTCTTGTTTTATACACTCACTGCTAAAATTTTTTATATGGAATTTCCCATGTGCCTTGCTTCTCAGTGTAACGAACAAACTCTTTTGTAAACTAATAAATAACTTTGTATAACATATGTTGGATTTTGTTTTTCAATTTGCAATAGTGATATCACTTGACTTCAATATTACCCAATTAATCAGGTAGATCACTAACTATAATTGAATAGTTTCATCCAATTTATTTATGCATTTAAAATTATTCTAATATGATGAAATGCCCTGCATGCCATGGGATAGAGCAATAGGTATTGCTAAGAGGCTGAAAAAGGAGAAACCTGCTTTGGCTAGTTGAGGATGTACATCTTGGAGCAACATCAGACAAAGGAATGATGAGTCATTGGTTTCTTATATCCACCATTAGTCCATGGAATGTTAATGTGACCAAAAGCACACACTTTACCTACAGCAATGTTAACATTAAGATAACTCTTTGGCGTTTCCAAAGTACTGTTTTGTACTTTCTCAACAAATATTGATCTTTCATACAATGCAGAGTTTAGATTTTCGGACATCTTCTCTTTCTGAACTCCTGCCTTTGGTCCCTAAATATGTATCCCACATGCTTACACTTGTGTGATTGATAAGATTGTCTGTGTTGTTTAGAACTGACTTTCAGAGTTTGACTCCTCCAATCAGTTTACTAAGGAGCCCAGCTGTCTTTCAAGGTCAAGGAAAGTAACCCACGTGGAGTCAAACTATACTAGTTAATCCACACTAGTTAATCTTGTTTGCTAAAGGCATCTGGAGTCCAGGACACAATCACAAAAGTAAAATCTTGGGTGTATTTTTTCCATGTCCCACCTTTGGATTCATGGAGCTATTTTGGCACCATAGTTACAATTCTGTGTAGCCCTTCCTATGTACAAGTTTCCCAGACATTATCCCATTCACTCTTCATAACAACAATGAGAGCAAAATGAGGAATCTGAGGCTCATAAAAGTTAAAAGTCAATGTCCCAGATTCTCCCAGAGAGTAGGCATCCAAATTCTACCTCTTACTTTCAGTTGGCAAGTTTGAGTCACCTTTTATGAAATACTGTACAATAGACATGGAGTCATTAAACCCCACACAAAGGTCTGTTCTCAGCTTTTTCAGGCCTCTTGGAAGGACCAAACTATCCACAAGGTACCAGGGTGTGAAGCTTAAGAACCGCTAAGGCCCCAGGGTGGTATGAGGACCTGAATGGAGAAGCTGACTCACTGCCATTCTGTGGCCTCCTTGTGAGAAGACAGGAATGCTTTCAGAATGACACCATCTGTCCTCTCCCTCAGGACTCAACTAAGACTTGGGCAAACAGTACAAGTTCTAGCCTGCCTCAAAGAATAGCTGCGCCATGGAAATGGAACAATTGCTGCCTTTCTGAGGTGCCAATAAAATTAGACTTTTAATGGCTTGAAATTAAATTGATATTGGCCTGAAGTCAACAAATACCTATTCATACAGTCCAAGGCCCCTTAATACTCTCCATCCCATCTCCAGCAGCTGACCCCAAAAGAAAGCAGAGGAACAAACATTGCCCAATAGTTGCCACTAATACATCCCTGCCCTGGATTCCATCCCTCCTCCTGTCCTGCTTTTCTTCCCTCATTCCTCTTCATCCCCCTCCTCCATTCTCCTCCCCCTCTTTCTCCATTAGTTTGGTACCTTCTGAATAAGTTCCCTTCCAGTTTTAACAAAGAATTTCCTGACATTCTTATTTTCTTGTTCTCTCTCTCTCTCTCTCTCTCTCTCTCTCTCTCTCTCTCGCCCTCTCTCTCACACACACACACACCCACACACACACACACACACATACACAGAGGGAGAGAGAGTGTGTGTTATTGTTTGGGAGGGTTTATTGAAAATATCAACAGACATTTATCACTCCACTTTAAAATAATATTTAAGAATTTTCCAGAAATTTAGATTTGAGGCCAGATCAATAGCAGCATATTATTAAGTGGATGGACTCTGCCCCCACAGCTGCAATAATTCACAAAGAAGCTCTGCAATAGCTCATTGCCAGCAGCACAGGACAGCCCAGACCATCATCAGCGTGTATCTGGACACATGATTGACATGCCAATGCCTCCATGTGAGAAAGCATGACAGGGTAAGTGTGGGCTGGGCCAGGTGTCTGTATGTTCTACAAAGTACATAAGTTTATCCTAGCCCTTTGTCTGCCCTTGCATTTTCCATGTCTGACCATTTGCCAGAGGGGCCTATTAGCATACTATTAATCACTTCCTTGCTCTGTGTTCTTTCTGTGTACCTGTGCTTTGTGTATCATCTCCTTAACCCACAAACAACCATACAATTGTCAGATTACTATTGTCTTCATCTTTATAAATGATGAAACTGAAGTTAAAGAGATGAAAGAACTTGTCCAGTGTTGCAATACTTCTAATACGTGTTCTTACACACAGGATACATGAGGACATGGTCCAAACTCCCAAAGTTGTTTCAGTACATGCTGAACAGGAGTTCAATGATTAACTGGAGGAAGCCATCTGTGGAAGACTAAGGGAGCCTGGTAATGTGGTTAGCCATGAGTCCCTGAACTACAACAACCCCTCCCTCTCCCACAAAAGGAAATGGGGGATTCATTCCCACCCTTCTTGGTCCACTATAAAGAGAGAGAGGGCCTTTACCTTCTAAAGCACCAACTCTACTTCCATATAAAGCAAAGTAGTCCAGACTGACCTAAACTCTGGAGCCAGGTCAACCTGCGTTTGACTCTGACCACTTACTTCATGACATTGGGAAAGTGCCCTAACCTTTCTGGGACACAATTTAGAAGCCAAAGCACACAGACCAATACACTCAAACCTCACCTCGACATTCAGAACCTATGTTTCACCCTGGGAACAACTTATGGAATTCTGTTTTTCTTGCATCAATCATGAGATCACAGCTGTTATCATTCCAGAGAGTCGAACTCCTTCTCAAAGCCAAGAACATCCAAAACCTTCCCCAAAATCTCTGAGATGTTGAAACACAAAACTTTCATTTGGAAGAAGAGTATCATCAAAGTCACAAAAGCCTGAGAAAAATATCTGTGACTTCAGCTGTTCACTTCTGCTGATGTCCACCACCCAGTTGTTTTGTCTGTTGTATTGAAAGACCCCCAGACCCCTAAGGGCCTCAGGATCACGAAGAGCCCCCAAGACTCAGAAACCAGACCAAGAGCTGCAAAAGCAAGAGGGTTTATTGAACGAATGCGCATTCGGGTGACAGCAATATCGGGAAAGCTGCACACCCCAGCAAGGATTACAGGCTCTTATATAGGAAAAAAATGCAGATTAGCATACAAGCAAGGGGCACAAAGTGATTGATTGCAAAGTATGACCTCATGTTAGAGTGGTCACCCAGGTGTGACCTGCTTTTTTTTTTTTTTTTTTTACAAAGGAAAAACCATAGAACATACCCTGGAAGTTTCTTGATTGTCTGTTGGCCAGCCAGGTTTGACCCAAAGAGGGTTGGTTGTCTTGGCGATTGCCCCCGTCTAAACCATAGGATGTGCCCAGGGTTGGGGCCAGCTTCCTTGTAATGGACCAAGGCCTGTGGGAAACTTTTCTCTCTGTGAAGTAAAATCTTTTAAAACTTTTTCTCTCAACAAACTAAAATCTTTCAGTATCAGATCCCCTGTCAGACTGCAAACATCCTCCATTTCATTTGTTACCCTAAACCCATCTGTGCCAGTTAGTTTTTTGTCAACTTGACATAAGCTCTGGTCATCTAGGAAGAGCGAACTTAAGTTAAGAAAATGTCTTCATCAGATTGGCCTATAGGCAAGTGATTAATGTGAGAGGACCCCATTCCCTATGGAGGGATACTATTGCAGCCCAGATACAACAAGGAGGGTAAAAAATTTTTAAAATGTGGGAGGGTCCAGCCCATGGCAGGCACTGCCACTCTTGGTCAGGTGGTCCCGGATTGTATAAGAAAACAAACTGAGCAAGCCATGAGCAGCAAGCCAGTGAGCAGTGTCCCTCTGTGGACTCTGCTTCAGTCCTGCCTCCAGGTTCCTGCCTTGAGTTCCTCCCCTGACTTCCCTCAGTGATGGACTGCAATCTACAAAGGAAAATAAGTCCTTACCTCACCAATTTCCCTTTGGTCATGAGTGTCATTACAGCAGTAGGAAACAAACTAGAACACAGCCAATAAGATAGGTGTTGGTATCCCATTTCCAGATGAGAAACCAGATTCACATTACCATAACTCCAACATAAACCCATAGGATTCCGTAGTCTCTGCCTGGCCTCCACTAAGAATGGTCACTCTTTGGAATGGAATTCTCCCGAAGCAGGTAATACAAACAAGCGGTCCACTCACTCTTCATTGGGTTCAGGGCAACAGTAGAATAAGGATCATTCATTCCAAACCACTAAATGCTAACATGGTAATCTCTGTAATAAAATGTGGTGCAAATAGAAAGAACCTAAGAAATCTGATAGGACATTATCATGGTCCCTGTGAAGAAACTGCTCCAGTACAGCACTATTTCAAGTAGTGCCTTTGAATTGTGTGTGTGTGTGTGTGTGTGTGTGTGTGTGTGTGTAGTGAGCACAACTACTTCAGGTGCTGTTCCTCAGGTTCCATCCTCCTTTATGCTTATTTGATTCTTAAGGTCTCTCAGCCTGGAACTCACCAAATACCCTATGCTGGTTGGACAGTGAGTCACAGTAACCCACCAGTCTCTGCCTCCTCATTATTGAGATTACAAGTATGCTCTGTATGCCTGGTTGGCTTTTGTTGTTGTTGTTGTTTGATTTTATTTTGTCTTTAAAAAAAATAAATAGGTCCTGATTATTGAACTCAGGTCCTTGTGCTAACAAAGCAAATCATTTACCAAATGAGTCATCTCACCAGCCCCTGAACTATCATCCTGAAAGTCCTGAAGAAAAATGGAAGGGAGCATTCTTGGGAAGGGCTTGAAGTTTCCAGGCTGTTACATATTCAAACGGCATTTATTGTGTTGCTACTACATACAAAATTCTGTTCCAAGTACTCTGCAGGTGGAAGGTGATGAGGACCTCTTGACAAAGGGTTGTTTTGCATTCTTATATGAAATTCTTTCTACCAAATCAGA